GTGATCATTGCTTGATGGCCGACATTCGAGTCGATAATTGCTGCAATTTCATCACGTGCGTTGGATGTTGGTGTGATGATTGCTCGACCATCTTACGCGTTGACCCGGGTGTTGGGAAGAGTGTTCACCAGTGCGCTCCCCGCGTGGCCAATTACTCCGCCTAGACGAAGTCTCAGCACGCTGTATTGAATGGGAAGATCGTTGCACTTGTTGATGGACCGGGGGCCAGTAAACCATGATTCCAGTAGCTCCCGGCTCACTCGGTTGTCACCTCTTGCGAGAATTTCGGCCTCATCGAATTTAAATGTGTGGCCGGATCTCGTCGAATGAGCTGCAACTTGAGAGCTGGCGTCATTTCTGCGCACCGCTGCCGCGTGTGCGGCCATTCTCGTTCGGAGCTGTCTTCCGGTTTCTCCGAAGTGGTTGCTTTGTCCGCAACTGCACCAGATTCGATAAACGACTCCAGACGTTTCTAGCCGTGGCAGTGGGTTTTCGGTTTCATGATCAGACGCCTGATGGTTGCCTCCGGTCTGTGTGCCACTCCAACCCCAAGTGGTGCGAGAAGGCGGTCGACAGCTTCCGAGACGTTCTTGACATACGGAAGTGCCCGCCAAGACTTGGTGTCCGTGCGGTTAGGCCTTTCGTCCCTTTTGCGTATGCACCGGTCGACGAAGTTGTGCGGGTAGCCATTGGCTTTGAAGACCCGTCGGAGGTATTGTAGTTCAGCAATTTTGTCTTCCGGCTCGCTGCAGTGCGTTTCGACACGCCGATAGAGCGCCCTTACACGACTGCGTTTGTGGCTGATGGGGTGGTTACTGTTGAAGTTCAGTACTTGCATCGTATTTGTCGCTTTCCTGAACACTTTGGTCTTTAGTCCACCACAATCCTTGCGGCATACGAGGACATCCAAGAAGGCCAGCTGGTTGTTCTCTTCCTCCTCCATCGTAAATTGAATGTCCGGGAAGACGGCGTTGAGATGTCCTTGGAACGTCAATACCTGATCCCGTTCGATGACGACGAAGGTATCATCCACATACCGGGCCCAGAATTTCGGTCTGTGGTGCTGGAAGACCAGCGACTCTAACCGTTGCAGGATCGCCTCGGCGATGAATCCCGAAATCGGCGAACCCATTGGTGTGCCCTTCAGCTGTTCGTATATTGTCCCGTCGAACGTGAAGTACGTCCTGAGACAGAGCTTCAGGATCTGAAGGACTTGGGCGTGTCCAAGACGGTTCTCCGTTTCATCGTATTTGCTTTGTAGTAGCAGCTCAATTGTCTCGATCGCCAGGTCCTGGGGAATAGAAGTAAAAAGGGATGTAACATCAAAAGATACCATGACCTCATTTGGATGGATGCTTACCTCTTTGAGTTTCTCCAGGAATTGTGCTGACGAAGAGACCGTGGTGTCTGACTCAGCGGTCAGGAACTTGAGACGCCGGAACAGCCACTTAGCCAGTCTGTACGTTGGAGTCCCTTTGAGCGACACGATGGGTCGGAGAGGAGCGCCGTCTTTGTGCACCTGAGGGAGGCCATAGAATCGGGCCAAAGCCGTACCTTGGGGTCTCGCCATGCGTCTGTCGGTCGGTGTTATTGCACCTGAGTCCTCCAAGGCCAACAACGTAGCATTAATTTCGCGTGTCAGCGCCTTTAAAGGGTTCGTTGCACATGGGACATAGAACTGTCGTTCCTCCAGTAAACCTTTGGCTTTTTGAAGGTAGTCTGTCCTGTCCAGTACAACTGTGGCGCGTCCTTTGTCCGCTGGCACGATGACCAGGTCTTTGTCGGCCTTGAGTTCTCTAAGCGCATCACGTTCGACCTTGGAAAGCACTTCCCGCGGCCTGTGGGCCATCAGGAGAGACGACGCTTGGTGTCGGATGAGGTTCTTAGTCTCCTCCGTTGCCTCCGTCTGACAAAGGATTGATTCCACTGCTGCAATCATGTTAACAGGTTTGGCGTCAGCCATGTTAAATGAAGCTTCGTGCCGTAAAACCTGCATCTGATCCTTCGTCAGCTCCTTTGATGACAGGTTGTGCACCCGTTTGTCGTTTCTGGGCGACGTTGGATTGGGCAGCTTTCGAAATTTGTTCTCCAGTGCTGCGTCGCGTATCGTGCTCTGTTCGCGGGCTTGTTCAGCTATCCTCCGCAGGAGCAGATTCGTACCGATTTCACCCATGAACTCACAGCATCTGGTCTTTTCTTGGTCAATCCCTTGACGGTACTTGCGAAGTCTCGCGTGGCAATCGTCCCGTTACAGGCCCTACGATGCAAGCAGTTGCAGATACCGTCAGTTTACTCGCAATCTAGGTGATATTCCTGTATCATGTATACAGGTGCCACTTCCATGTACATCCCAAGTGAGGAGAAAAAGCTGTCCCAATTGATTTTTGCTGCTTTGATGTCAAAAAGGTTGTCGTTCTAACCGCACTGTGTTTTCTCCAATAGTGAAAAATCACGCCTCTAGTGTTTGTGTGACGCACTGTGAAGGAATTTCTAATTTTGGGCCTGTTTACCACTCTAACTGTGTTGG